CTTGCTGCTTGTATCATTTGCATTATACACATGGACACAAACACAGAGAAGTATTTTTCAAATTTTAAAACCTTTTTCTTTTATTATAACCTGGTATATATATAAAAAGTTAGCTTTTTGTTCCAAGATGTGTTTAACGACAACTATTTACACATAATGTCATTTTTCTGATAAAGAACTGAACTATGCACATTTTTTGCACGTGTATGCTTTCTTCTCATCCGTCAGGTTTTCTCGATTGGTTCCTTCTGGAATGCAGGGCAGATGTGCCCACCTCTTGCAAGAATCAGACTCGACCTTTGATAAATAACAATTGAGAAAATGAAAGCACAGAAGTTATAATGTTACACATACTTTCCAGTCACTCATGCTATTCCTTCCACATGCCAGCATTACCTAAGAGATGCCTAGCACGGGTGGGCAAACATTTTGACCTGAAGGCCACATTGGGGTTCCGAAACTGTATGGAGGGCTGAGTAGGGAAGGCTGTGCCCCCCCCCCAAACAGCCTGGCCCCCACCCCCTCTCCACCCCGCCCCCCCACTTCCCGCCCCCCTGACTGCCCCCCCTCAGAACTCCCAACCCATCCAACCCCCCCTGCTCCTTGTCCCCTGACCGCCCCCATCCTGGGACCCCCCACCCCAAACCGCCTCCGGCAGGGGCGACTCTTATGTTTTTTGCCGCCCCAAACACGGCAGTCAGGCAGCGCGCCTGCGGGCAGTCCGCTGGTCACACAGATTCGGCGGCATGCCTGCAGGAGGTCTGTTAAAAACCTGTTTAAGAAAGGTGTGGTGACCAATTACCTTTCAGAAACCATTGTCTGTCTTCCCCGTCCTCCATAAGCATGTCATCAATATCATCATCATCATCATCATCATCAATTGTATCACTGTTTGAAACATCCTCTTCTTCCATTGCGGTGACTGCTCTGTTTTTCACTGTGCTGTCATGAGACTTGTGGGATAAAGTGCCATCCATCTTTCGACTCTCTTCTGAGGGGGTTTCTGGGTCAGTGTCACCAACTGCAATTTCAGTGCCGATGTTTTCCTCTGATGTGCTCTCAGCACCTAATGTTGGTGGCTCTTTAAATGGTTTTAAATGTGTGATGCTGTACATGGCTCCTAACCGTTTTCCTGACAGGGTTTGTAATTTCACTCTCTCACCCTCCACAGTTGTAATTCTGTAAGGTCCCCGATAGGTAGGTTCCAGTACTCCTCCTTTTCTTGTTCTCTTTCTAGCATTCAGTAACAGGACACAGTCCCCAACACCAAATGTTATTTCCCCATATTTAGAAGTCTTTCTTTCAGCAGAATGTCTTTGTTGTTTCTCTTGTGCTTTAGAGATGTTACTTAGAGCCAGTTCAATGTCAGCATCATGTCTCGATTTCATATTTGTGCTGTACTCTTTGCAGAAATCTTCCCCGAATGTATTCATATCTGGGATCTTTGTAAACAAATGGAGAAGAGATTGTATTCGTATAATGAAGACACACTGAATGACATGTGTACATGAAAGGTGCTGGTAATAACATACACTTACTGTGTAATTCTCTGAGACTTCTTCTGGAAGCACTGGGTCAGCACAAAACATTAGTCGAAAGGGCGACATTTTTGTTGTTGCGTGTACGTTAGTTCGCAAAGAAAACAAAATGGGATCAAGTAATTCCTCCCAGTTACTCCCATTGTCATCAACCATCTTCCGCAACGCTCTGTAAGAAATGCTCATTGATTTGTTTGTTGGGAAAAAAAGCACATGTATATTCTTGACTGAAACAGATTATACATAATCAAAAAG